GAAGCCCTTGCTTGTAGAGCTTACAATCTAAAGGAAGGGGGAGGTGATACAAAAGGTGATAGCTGTAGGTGATGATCTGATGGAGGTGGCTCAAATACAGTTCTTAGGTGGAGGTGGGGTAGGCTTCCCTGAAGAAGTGAGTTCCCAAAGATCACCTAAAGGCTGACAGGGTGGGGGCTAACCGGACATACTGCTGTAGGGAGTTCCAGAGGATGGGAGAGTCTCTGGAGAAGTCCTGGAGGCGACTGCGGGAGGAGGTGATGAGGAAGCTAGAGAGCCAGATGTCTTGGGAGGAGTGGAGCAGACAATTTGCGGATGAGGTTGGTGATGTAAGCTAGGGGCAGTGTTGTGGATGGCTTTGTATGCTGTGGTTAGTATTTTGAATTTTATACGTTGGGTTAGTGCAGTGTTTCTCAACTCCAGTCCTCATGGACCCCCAACAGGTCATGTTTTCAGGATTTCCCTCAGATGAAACAGCTGTGGTAATTACTAAGGCAGTGAAACTGATCAAATCACCTGTGCAAAATAATGGAAATCCTGAAAACATGACCTGTTGGGGGTCCATGAGGACTGGAGTTGAGAAACACTGGGTTAGTGGAAGCCAATGAAGGGATTAGCAGAGAGGGGCAGCAGTCAGTGATCAGTTAAATATTCAAATTGAGCACCCCAGGAATCACGACTGTTGGGGCGCTCAGGAAGATATAGACTGGTACATGGTGGTATCTCCAAATTCCTGCTTTTTAGGTTTTGTTGCTAGTTCAGCAGCTTCATCTCTACTTCCATGGTTCCTTTTAAGCTTTCAACATTGATGGGATTGCACATTAACCTTTTACATGCTTCATAACTATCACCATCCAGGTCCGGAATTCCTTGCACATTCCTGGATACCCATCAATCTATCACCTTATTCTCCTTGAGGTGCAAATGACACAGAAGGGAGTCTTCAGCTACAGAGTACAGAGAAGTCTTCAAAGGTTCCCATACACAGCTCAAGGAACCCCTGGCAACCAATGGAGAAATTCTAGTGTTCCATGGAAACCATGGTTGAGAATGGCTGGTTTACACTTACCGGAAGACAGCAAACTGTCCTTTTTTTTAACATCGCTCATCCATTACTATTTGGCATTCAGAATGTTCAGCTTAATAATAATATTAATATCTTTTTTTAACCATGCTGTGCTTAAAATATGTATTTTAAGCACAGCATGGTTAAAAAAATATTAATATTATTATTAAGCTGAACTTTCTGAGTGCCAAACAGTAATGGATGAGCGATGTTAAAAGAGGACAGTTTGCTGTTTTCCGTTATGTGTAAACCAGCCATTCTCAACCATGGTTTCCATGGAACACTAGGACTTCTCCATTGGTAGCTAAGGGTTCCTTGAGCTGTGGCTGATTGACTTCCCACTTGATGGTGCCTGCATAATCCCAGGGTCAACACCACTTGGTAGACCCAGTTGCATGAAGCCAAGGACTGCCCATAGGGATTGCATTTTGATCAACACTTTAGGGTATGCATTCTTTCTACTGACCATCAATGAAAGAAGCATTTTGTTTTCACTGACCATCAATTAATTTATTTTAGCAAGGGTTCCCCTAAGACATGAAAATGATTTCAAAGGTTCCTCTGGGGTTAAAAGGTTGATAAAGACTGGTGTAGACACACAGGGATTGATTTACAAAAACTGTAGAATGCAGCTTCCAGATTTTATTGTCAAAGTTTAATTGAACAAGCTGAAGTTAGAAGCTGATTGGTCGCCATGCACAGCTGCACCAGATTTTGCACTCTCCAGTTTTACTAAATCAACTCAACAAGGTATTGTGTTTAGACGCTTGTAATTGTAGGGCATCAAGGAGGCGAAGTTGTTAGTATTGATATTTTGCAACATTGGGTCCCTGGGTTCAATTTCCTCCAGGGTCTCTGCATGAGTACGACTGTTGATTGAAAAGTTATGCCTCCATACCATTAGCAGATGGCGGCACTGATATGCAGCAGGTACTAATACGCTGTGTAGGTTCTCTTCTATCACCTCAGTTGGCAGCAGGTCATTATAGTGAATGGATATTTTACTACCCTTTATGAAATGAAAATATGTGCTGGACCCTTGTCATTGCAATTTGAACAACCTGCTGTGATTGTGTTCATGATTGCTGATGTTGCTCCTCCAACATATGGAAGGTGTACTGATAACTGTCTCAGTGTGAGCACTGTGCGCCCCTGGGCTAAATAATGCAAAGAATATCAAAATTGTGTGTCAAATGGGAGGCTGGAAATGTTATTCTGCCACGCATGCTAGGCCATTCTCTTTATGTGCCACTACAGAGGTAACTGCAAACCTTAAACTTTACCACCCTGCACCTCCACCATAAACCTACCAAGGGTGGACTGAACTGCGGGGGACATATTTTCCCTGGGCCCGAACTAATTACTTGATACCCCCAAGCACTTATTTATTTTGCACTTTTGCACAGCATAATGCACTTTATTCACTTCTGATTAGTAGGGTGTAGTTCCTTGGACTTGCCCCGAAAGTCTTGGGGGAGATGTGGCCAAGTGGCCTTATGATCAAGGTCTCCCCCTTCCGTAGGGGCTCCCTTCAGGGGAACCTCACCTACTGCTTGGGTGGGCCTTGCTTTAGCAAGTCCCCTGAAGAATGGGGCTTGCCTAGTTTCGGCCGGGTGGACCACAAGTGCAGCACCCTCCTAGATCAGTGCTAGGTGTATATTGTTAGATTTCGTTTGTATTTTGACAGGTACATTTAGTTGTCCCACTATAGACAGTGTGAATGTAATTGTTAGGTAAAAGCATAACTTGCACACTTTAATCAGTGTTGCTGTGTTCTGCTAGTCATGTTTTCTTTGGTCAGCTGCTGCCAGCCTGAAAGCTCCTTCTGCATCCAGAAAGCTTGAGAAGTTTCTAGATGATAGGTGTGGAGTTATGCAGATGGCAGCATGAATATTGATGTGGTCCCAGCCTATCCCAGATAGACTCTGAAGGCATGCTGGGCAACTGTATATATTCAGTGAGTTCTGGGTCTTTCCTGCATAGGATTGTTCCATCTCTGGAGAGGCACGTTGACCTCCTAGGCAACTATTGCCGTGTGGCCTCAGGTGGGCAACCTAAGTGCCTGAACGATGAAACCTGGGTTCTACTAAAGCTGACTGAGGGGCCATCTTCTAAAGATCTGGTCTGGTATCATGGAGGATGGCATCCAGCTGCTCTTGGACCTTGTGAGTACAAACACCCCTAGACGATCTTAGAGACTGTTTGCTACTTACAGGTTCTGGTGCAAGGAAGTCAACTGCGAGTCTAGGCTAAAGGGGACACCGGCTGTTGTTCCAAAGAGCTTTGTCCACTTAATCCCCTACTTAAAAAGGCTGTTCTCTACTTTGCTACTACTAAGTATACTGTTTGCTTCAAGCACGGATGTTGTAATTGCTTATCCAAAAGAATACTTAAAGTCCTCCACTATACATAGTTCTCGTTTTTGGAGTTTCCCACCTAATTCCCTCAACCCTATCCTAGTTCTCCAAAAAATAAAAACAACATCCCCTAGACTGGTCATTGAGGAAACATGTGAGTGAGCCTATATGCCTGGCTGCAGGGCAAAGCTTTTGGGGAAGACCTGGACAGTAGTCCTGCGGAGCTGCACTACACAAATAGCCCAGTCCCCATTCAGGAGTCTTTCATCCTGGGAGATCAGGGCCAGTATTCTTTTTCTCTTCGGAGGAGGACCATGTAATACGCTGTGTGCACTCTTTTATCGCACCAGATGTTTCGTTTTGTGTGTGCACAAAAATAAATATATCATCATTTAGACCCGTCAAGGCAAGACCTGCAGTCAGTGACACCTTCTTTGGTTACCTGATCCCCGTTCAGACCTGTGATCCCAACGTGTGGCAGATGAAAGCCTTCCATCGCCAACGTCTTTTGTGACTCGTGTGAACGAATGCCAATAAGTGCAAAGGTTTGTAAATGGCAGAGCTGTGCTACAGACAGCAGGAAACTGTACAAAGCCATAATTGTTGGCCTAAGGCCACAGGTAGCATTGACAAAATAAAACTCGTGTGTGCAGAATGTTTTCAGAACATGTCCATTTATTGTATGGAGGACAGTTGACAATGACGTCTGTTGAATGGCATTGTCCTTTCATAAAATCCTCTAGAACAAGACCATAGAAGATGCACTTTGTTTATGTTCTCTGCCATGTGTGATTCCCAACCTCGGCTCGCCAGCATTTCATAGAAGCATTTAAAGAGCTCACACAATGGTTTGATTTCTGAAATAAAATGCTTCACGCAAGTACAAATTTTACAGCTCGCAGGTTTGCCAGGTTTGCAGAGTTCTTCTAAAGGAACCAGACAAGATGAAGGTAAAGGTGCTAATTAGTGACACAATGACTTTGTCTGATTTTGTCCTGTACCGAAATATTCCTTCCATTCTGTAGTCACTGCCAGGTAGGCAACACACGTCACCCTCAACGACAGATCCGTGCTGAGGGGTATTTAACTAAAGAAAGGGTTTTTACAACAGCAGGAAGCCAAATATACGTGTATACATCTGTGAACAATGATACCCTCCAGGAAGACACAAATTAGAGGCTCCCGACAGGATCGAGGTACATTAGGCAGACATTTTAACTTTAGTACAGCTACTCACTTTATTACATGAAACAGTTTTTAAATTAATAAATTTATAACAAATTTTACATTGAAATCTGTGAACAATGTCAAAAATAAAACAAAAAAATCTTGGGAGCAGCTTTCTAAAATATGTAAAAATTATTTTGAACAAATGGTGTAGCGCTGTAAATACTAAAATACCACATTGTCAAATCATAATATAAATATATCATTAATGAACCTCGTGTATCCTTATTACCTTAATTAAAGGTGAAATACATTCCAAAGTAAATATAAAATCAAAGTAAAATAAGATAATAAAATAAATAGTAAAATAAAATTATAAATAAGACCAATTATAAAACCGTGACCTGTATCAATGATATAAATAAATAAAAAAAAAGTCCCAAAAAGTGAAGAAATTAGTCCCAACAAGTGGAAAAAAAAAACACAAAAAAAAAATAATATAAAAATCCAGATTTTCCATTTTTTATATTTCCACTTTTTGTTGCATGCTCATATTTATGGTGCCAATTTTATCCATCACTTTCTAGTGTGTGCGCTCACCTCAAAAATTCGACCCTCAAGGAGTCATAGAGCAATCAATATCCCTGGATGATCCTTGGTTAGATGGATCTCTCCCTTTAAGTGGACATAAGAACAGCTCCAACCGAATTCATATAAACGATCAAACACATTTTTAAGGGATCTTCAAATGGTTCAAAAATTCGACCCTCAAGGAGTCATGGAGCAATCAATATCCCCGGATGATCCCTGGTTGGATGGATCTCTCCCTTTAACCACTTCCCGACCGGCCGTTGTATATAAACGGCCAGGCGGTGGCACTGCAGGGTCGGGTTGGCCGTTCATAAACGGCCTCCCTGCATCCTGCTTGTGCGCGCTCCCCGGGGGGAGCGCGCAGCACCGCGATCCGGTGCCCGCTGTGTCCTCCGGACACAGTGAAACACCGATCGTCATACAGGACCTCTGTGCGAGGTCGCCGATCATGTGATTACTGATTGGCCAATCAGTGATCACATGCAGAGTAGAAAGGAAGATGTCACTTGTGACATAATTGCTTACTACGTGTGAAATCATTGTGGAATGATCCACAGAGGACACAATGGTACAGGGCTATTCACAACAGACCCATGTACCATGTACAAGCTGTGACCAATCACAGCTCAGATCAGTATTTCTCAATGGTTGCAAGAATGCAGCCAGAGAGGAGAAATGATTGCTTTTACTTCCTATATGGGTTGTAAAAGCAATCAATGTAAAAAGAAAAAAAATCTTCATCACCCCATGGTGTCACTGTACTGCTAGGGTGACAGTATGTAAAAAGAAAAAAATAAAATAAATAATAATATAAAAAAAAAAAATAAAAATGTAAAAAAATTTTTTTTCAAATTAGAATTTTTGGTTTATAAACTAATTTGGCTTATTTTTTTTTTTACTAAAAAAGATAACGGAATAAATTTTGGCCAAAGGATTTTTGATGAAAATATTATTTTTTTGCAAAATGTTATAAGAAAAACACTTTTTTTTCTAATTTTTGGACATTTTCAATTTACATAGCAAAAAAAATTTAAAATCCCAGTGGTGAATATATACCACCAAAATAAAGTTTTATCTGTCTCAAAAAAATGGTAAAAAATTCATATGGGTTACAGTGTTGCATGGACCGCGCAATTGTCATTCAAAGTGTGATAGCGCTGAAAGCTGAATGTTGAAATTGCCTGGACAGGAAGGGGGGGGGGAAGTGTCCGGACTGGAAGGGGGGGGGGGGGGGGGGAAAGTGTCCGGACTGGAAGGGGGGGGGAAAGTGTCCGGACTGGAAGGGGGGGGGAAAGTGTCCGGACTGGGAAGGGGGGGGAAGTATCCGGACTGGAAGGGGGGGGGAAAGTGCCCGGACTGGAAGGGGGGGGAAGTGTCCGGACTGGAAGGGGGGGGAAGTGTCCGGACTGGGGAAGGGGGTGGAAAGTGTCGGACTGGAAGGGGGGGAAAGTGTCCAGACTGGGAAGGGGGGGGGTAAAGTGTCCAGGACTGGAAGGGGGGGGAAAGTGTCCGGACTGGAAGGGGGGGGGGAAAGTGTCCGGACTGGAAGGGGGGGAAAGTGTCCGGACTGGAAGGGGGGGAAAGTGTCCGGACTGGAAGTGGTTAAGTGGACACAGGAACAGCTCCATCGAAATCATATAACAATCAAACACATCTTTAAGGCGTCTTCAAATGGAAGGAGTCCCAAGATGGCGATTACCATCCAAACATAATATGTACATTTCTAGTACAATGATTGAAATAAAAAGCTGCCCACACCTACACACTCATATAATTGTGTTACATACAAACTATAACAGTGTCGCGTTTTTCTCTCTGTGCAACCAATGACTAAACTACTCCAAATGTGATAAACTAAAAACGCAAAAAAATTTAATCAGTAAAAAATACATCCAATTATATAGGTTCCACCTATTTAATAAAATCTCAAGTCCCCACATCCAATAACTCCTTACAGGCGTACCTTGGATTACAAAACACCTCGGTTAACGTAATTTCGGTTTATGAATGAAAATCCATTGACAATAATGCCTCGGCTTATGAATTTTTTTTGCAATACGAACGGATTAATATGGTTTTCAATGCATTTATGAATTAATTTTTAATCATGTCCCTGTACAGTATTTATGCCTTTAAAGTGCACTTTATAAAGAGTTTTGTACAGATAAAATACTTTTTTAAAAATTTTCTGACCTCCGGGACAGATTAATTGGTTTTCAAAGCTTTCCCATGGGATACTGCGTTTCGGTTTACGAATCTTTCGCATACAAAAAGTCCCGCAGAACAAATTAAATTCATAGACCGAAGGTACGCCTGTATTTTATATATATGTGTCTTCAATAAATTAATTAAATCAACATCATTTGGTTCCTTCACATCGTAACAACTGCACCGCCACCAACACCCCAGATGTGCCCTCACCTGGAGCCTATGACCTCACATAAAACCGTTTGGTCAAATAGTTCCTATGTCCAAATAAAGGGATACATTAATTATATAGAGGGTGCACCTCTGATGGGATACCTGATGTAAGGGGGGACTTTGTAAGGAGGGGTCCAGATGTAAGGTGCTATTCTGATGGGGACCCTGATGTAAAGGGGGAATCTGATGGAAACCTGATGTAAAGAGAGATTGTGATAAGGACCCTAATGTAAGGGGGAACTTTGATGGGGATCCTGATGTAAGGGGGGACCCTGATGTAAGGGGAGACTCTAATAGGGGCCCTGATGTAAGGTGCACCTCTGTTTGGAAACCTGATGTAAAGGGGACTCTGATGGAAATCTGATGTAAGGGGGGACTTTGATGGGGACATGATGTAAGGGGGGACTTTGATGGGGACCATGATGTAAGGGGGGACTTTGATGGGGACCATGATGTAAGGGGGGACTTTGATGGGGACCATGATGTAAGGGGGGACTTTGATGGGGACCATGATGTAAAGGGGGACTGTGATGGGGAATCTGATGTAAAGGGGGACTGTGATGGGGAATCTGATGTAAGGGGAACCTGTATAGGGTCTTTATTGGCCCTCAAATATTTGTAAGATAGATAATGTGGCCCTTGTACTGGAAAGTTAGGAGACTCCTGCATGTTACATATGCTTTTCAGGTAGCTTTCCACACCAGGCCCTCCCATAGGTGCATGTGAATGGCTAGACAAAGTGAGTTGGATCATTCGGAGGTTATAAAGCCTGGGGGGGGGGGGGGGGGGGGGGGGGGGGGGGGGGGGGGGGGGGAGGGGAGGGGATTTACGGGGATTTTCATTTTTTGTCTTTACACAGAAATGTCCATCTTTATTAGCAGACCACATTCCTCCGGATTGTATTGCAGCCATGTCCTCCAAGCTTTCCTTTCACAAACCATCTCAGGCATTTTCCAGATAGAAATTCTTGGAGATATGAGCCCTGCGTGCGTCTCTTTGTTCTCTGAGTGCTCCAGGAGCGCCAATCTGTCAATCGAAGCTGCAAAAAAAACAGCTGATAACCAGAGACGCCATAGAAGTATCTCCAATCCTTGTAGGAAGAAAAAGGCAACGAATGCCGGAGCTCCTGCGCTGGACAATGGACTTTAGCTTGATCCATGATCAGATGTGTCCAGATGACACCGCGGTCACAGAGCATGCCCAATGTGTGCCCCAAGGGGTGCACAGGAGACGCATTTTGGGAGAATGTCTAATGACGCCCTCCCAGAACAAGAGAACCATGTTGTAGCCAACTTTCAGCTATGGCACATTAATGAGAAGGTTAAAGAGATAGTCCACCTCTTGGAAATAAATAAATAAATAAATGTATCCACACTGATAAAAGAAAAAACAATGTGCATGCATTCATTTTTTTGTATTCAGGCCTGCAAAGCATTGCAATTGAGATCCCTGCACCATGAGTGTAATGCACAGGCTCCTGCAGACTCTTCCCTTAGCCCAAGTTCCACGTAAAGGTACAGTCCTACCATTACAGGAATAGAGCGATTATTCAACAAGTTACTAACGCGGTGACGTCACCACACTTGTACTTCGTTGAGATCTACTAGTTCCTCTGCTGCGGTGGCAGATGGGACTTGTTTTCTTCCATTGACAGAATGTATGATGTAACTGTGCGGGTGGAGCCACATACAGTCACGTGTAAGCAGGCTGCCTACAGTTTGTTAAATAGACAGTGGCTGGCCCAGGCTGAGGAAGGGGTTTAATACTATACACCGCTATTCCCGGGCTTTTTTGGACCCAGCCTTACCACCCTGTAATATAAAATGGAGAAAAACAGGTTTCCGTGAGCCCCGCTCAAGAAGAAATGCCGTCATTGCTGATCAGAGGGGGGGGCTGCTACACCTTGCACCAGGGAGTCCTAGAGATCTACCAGTCCCTGGAGAACACGGAGCATGGACTACTACCTTGTGGAGGTATGCCTGGGCAGCCTAATAGGGACGTTCTATTGCTAATGTTCACATTGAACTGCCTCATCAAGATATTTCAAGTAAAAGTTGCATCAACTGTTTTAAGCCTGGTCTGAAGTCATTTAAAAGGGGTGCATGATGGTTCCTGGCGTATGGAAGCACTAGGATCAGTAAAGCACATATGGGGTATGAAGTAAAGCCACTACTACAAGGCTAGCTCGGCAGGACAAGTTGGAGGGAGGATTAACCAAGAAATAGTGCAAGGTACATTGCAGCCAGGGGCGGACTGACAACTCATGGGGCCCCCAGGCAATAGGGGATCATGTGGCCCCTGTGTCCTTGCCCCAAACTCAAAAAAACCTATGAAAAAAGGTACCTGAGGCATCTCATGGGGCCCCCTACTGATCCCGGCCCCTTGGGACAGTGCCCCGAGTTTCCAAATGGTCAGTCTGCCCCTGATTGCAGCCAATTGTGAAGCGTGATACCTGGTGTAGGTGACAAGTCCTCCGGTAGCAAGGGGGATCGGTGATCCAGCTCCCCAGCCAGGGGAGGGATATGCTTTGTTCATAT